GAGAAAAAAACAATTCGAAAGCATGACGGAAAAAAATGAATTTCTGGGGAATCTGAGAATGAGAGTGCCTTTCTTGTGCTTATATTTATTTTTAGCGAACAACTGCGATTCAGAACATACTTATACAGGGTTGTAGAGAATTCCACGGACTATCCGAACGTATACTTATTTTTCTCAAAATGTGAATTTATAGTAACGATATAGTGAAAATACCGAGTATAACTATTTTTTGCCAGGCGGATAAATCAGCAGATGATAGTCATCTGCCAAATGTTTGTGATCAAATAATAGCTAATCGTGGCTGGAACAGTAGAAGGTGATGGAGTCCCTCACGGCCTTTCAGATGGTCAATTTAGTTTTGAAATAAATTGATGATAAGTTGAAAAAAGCCGATGAAAATGTCGCAACACACACATCGCCGGGGAATGGGATGATGAAAGTGTCTTTATTGCTCTTGAATTTTCTTTCAACAGACGAATACAATTGAAGATGTACTTATAGAGGATTGTAGAGAATTTGACGGGCTATCCGAATCTCTATTCACTTCGTCAAAACCAACAATTTATAGTGATACTATATCGAAAATACTTAGTCTAGTTATTTTTGGCCGGACGGATATAATCAATAAGTTCTAGGATTCCTGCGCACGGTTACTCATCTGGATAACGGATAGCTATGGTCTATACACTCCTGCCATGTTCCCGTGTGTTCTTCCAGGACAAGGGCGATTTATCCGAGAAAAAACAAGTACATTCCACGAGCCTTTCAGGTAATATTAATGCTTTCTCATAATCACCTTGTAAATAATCTACAAGTGCCATACTGTCATAACCTGATGTTTTTCCACACTTTTCTAGTGCTTTATGGTATCGGTGTTGCTCAGCGTAAACGGATCCGATATGATTATACATAGCTGCTAATAACGGATGATTCGATGGTAATGATTTCAAGTTCATTTCGAGTGCCTTTTCATAGTTCTCTAATGCTTTATCGAATGCACCTTTCTTTTTATAGTTGAATGCAAAATTAGCGTATGAACTTGGTAACGAGCCAATATTAGACGGTAATGATGTCAAGCGGATTTCAAGTGCTTTTTCATAGTTCTCTAATGCTTTATCGTATGCACCTTTATCAGCGTAAACTGATGCAATATAACCATATCTCGTTACTAACACTGGATCATTTGATGGTACTGATCTCAAGCTCATTTCAAGTGCCTTTTCAAAATTCTCTAATGCTTTATCATATGCACCTTTCTCAGCGTAAACCATTCCAATATCACTATATGTAGTTGCTAATGGTTGATGATTTACTTTATATGACATCCACACGATTTTGCTCAGCTTTTCATACTTCTGTAATGCTTTATCGTCTACCGCAATATGATTATATCTAGTTGCTAATACTAGATGATTTGATGGTAATGATTTCAAGCTGATTTCAAGCGCCTTTTCATAATTCTCTAATGCGTCATCGTATGCACCATTTTCAGCGCTAACGGATCCAGCATGATTATAGATAGTTGCTAATGGTGGATGATTTGATGGTAATGATGCCACGTCCATTCCAATGGCCCTTTCATAGTTCCCTAATGCTTTATCGTTTGCCCGTTTCTTGTCGAAGATGCATCCAATATTTCTGTATGTAGTTGTTAATACTGAATGATTTTCTGGCATCGATGTCAACCTGATTTCAAGTGCCTTTCCATAATTCTCTAATGCTTTATCATATGCACCTTTCTCAGCGCAAACTCCTGCAATATGACTATATATAGTTGCTAATCCTGGCTGATTTAATGGTAATGATTTCAAGCTGATTTCAAGTGCATTTTCATAGTTCTTCAATGCTTTATCGTGCGCACCTTTCTGCTCGAATATGAATCCAATATTAATGTATGAACTTGGTAATGAGGGATGATTTGACGGTAATGATTTCAAGCGGATTTCAAGTGCTTTTTCATAGTTCTCTAATGCTTTATCGTTTGCGCCTTTCTGCTCGAATATGAATCCAATATTCGTGTATGTAGTTGCTAATACTGGATGACTTCATGGTAATGATTTCAAGCTGATTTCAAGTGCCGCTTCATAGTAATCTATTGCTTTATCGTTTGCGCCTTTCTTCTCGAAGATGAATCCAATATTCGTGTATGTAGTTGCTAATACTGGATGATTTGATGGTAATGATTTCAAACTGATTTCGAGTGCCTTTTCATAACTCTTTAATGCTTCATCATACGCACCTCTCTCAGCGCTAACGGCTCCAGCATGATTATAGATAGTTGCTAACACTGAATGATGTGATGGTAATAATGTCAAGCTGATTTCAAGTGCCATTTTATAATTCTCTATTGCTTTATTGTATGCATCTTTCTGAGCGTAAAGTGCTCCAATATGATTATATATAGTTGCTAATACTGAATGATTTGATGGTAATGATCTCAAGCTGGTTTCAAGTGCCATTTCATAGTTCTCTAATGCTTTATCGTAGACGCCTTTTTTGTCGAAGATGAATGCAATATTCGCGTATGTATTTGGCAATGAGGGATGATTTGATGGTAATGATGTCAAGCTGATTTCAAGTGCCTTTTCATAGTTCTCTAAAGCTTTATAGTAGGCGCCTTTCTTGTCGACGACTCTTTCAGTATTGGTGTATGTAGTAGGTAATGCGGGATGATTTGATGGTAATGAGTTCAAGGGGATTGCAAGTGCTTTTTCATAGTTCTCTAATGCTTGATCGGTTGCGCATTTCGCGTCGAAGATTTTTCCAGTATTCGTATATGTAGTTGGTAATGAGGGATGATTTGATAATAATGATGTCAAGGTGATTTCGAGTGCCTTTTCATAATTCTCCATTGCGTTGTCGTATTCATGATTCTCTGCGTGAACTGCTCCAACTTGACTATATATAGTTGCTAATGCTGGATGAACTGATGGTAATGATTTGACGCTGATTTCAAGTGCCTTCTCATAATGCTCTAATGCTTTACCGTACTCACGTTTCTGGTCGTACATGAATCCAATGTTCGTGTATATAGTTGCTAATGCTGGATGGTTTGATGGTATTGACTTTAAGGTTATGTTAAGTGCCTTCTGGTAATACTCTAATGCTGTATTTGTCAACCGTTCAAAATTATCCCGGTTGAAAGACATAGTTTAGTTTAATCAAGAAATGAATCTAAAACTTGAATATAACAATAAATATGTGCAAAATATATTAAATGGATTGTTTGCTAACAGCGAAAATAGCATTTTCATTGACATTTAAACTCAATACACTTATTGGTGGCAGAAAATGGTTTACTGATGCATTGCCTTCACTAGCAGATTCTAGATTTACACTGTCAATGTACTTTTCAGTATCGTTCCTTATAGAGAAAAACAGACTGGCATATTCACCGGAAATATGGCATTTGGAGGCTGTTATTCGTTTCTTCACAGAAAAAGCTTTTCGGTACTGAACATATGTCTTTTCCACGATGAATATCTTAGTGAAAAGCAAATATGAATATTAGAGACAGCAACATCCATCTGCGATCCACAGGCCATTGAAGGAAAGGACCTGACTGACCAACGAGCATTTTCATTTACCACGATTCCACTAAAACATAAATATTCGGTGAATCGCAGCACCCTGTTTTATCTCTCACTCCTCCAGTTACCGTCCTCAGAGAAACGAAATTCTAAAGACCTTCGTAACTCTCGAGATGGCGCGATTCTGATACCACACACTGCATAGACTACATCAATTTATCTATCCGGAAAACATCTCATCGATAATCAATAAGTTTTACGATTCCTGCACACGGTTACGCATCTGGGTAAAGGACAGCTATGGTCTGTAGCCTCCTGCCATGTTCCCGTATGTTCTTGCAGTACTAGGACGACTTATCCGAGAAAAAACAAGTACATTCCACGAGCCTTTTCGTGTGAGATTAATGCTTAGTGATAATCACCTTGGACATAATCTACAAGTGCCATACTATAATAACTTGATATTTTTCCACAATTTTCAAATGCTTTATGGTATCGGTGTTTCTAAGCGTAAACGGATCCAATATGATTATATATAGCTGCTAATAATGGATGATTCGATGGTAATGACTTCAAGTTGATTTCAAGTGCCTTTTCCAAACTCTCTATATCGTATCGCTATCGTATTCATGTTGCTCACCACAAACCGCTCCAATATGGCTATATATGGTTGCTAATGCACCTTCCTCAGCGTAAACTTCTGCAATATGACTATATGTAGTTGCTAATACTGGGTGATTTGATGGTAATGATTTCAAGCGGATTTCAAGTGCTTTTTCATATTTCTCTAATGCTTTATCGTTTGCGCCTTTCTTCTCGGAGACGAATCCAATATTCGTGTGTACACACGAGGGAACAGATCGAGTTAAAATTCAGAGATTCCTGACGAACTTTAAACGAAAACTTAGAGCTAATTATTTCTCACTGTTACGTGTGTTATTCTGTAATACTATGTTCTGTATTAGTCGTGTTCTTTGTAACAAGATCGCACAACCATTCTGCTTTTCGTTGAAAGAATAAAAACCATTAAAAAAAAGAAACCCTTTCGTTATAATTTATAATACACTACTAAATCATTGTTGTATCTTTTTCCTTTAATTTTTTACCTTTCGAATGACATACTTTCTTACATATATTTTTCAAGGCTTCTTTTACTTGCAGAAAAGAAACTATTAAAAAAAAGCTTCTGACTTAGGGTCTTCAATTCTATATAAATAATGTGTGCAAGGACAAAACCACTGGGAGTGTCTTATTTACTACCATATATACATCGCTAGAGGTATCTATAGGTATTTCCCACGGCCTTCGTCAGGTATCGCTATCCGATCATAATTCGGAGATACCTGACGAACTTTAAACGAAAACTTAGAGCTAATTATTTCTCACTGTTACGTGTGTTATTCTGTAATACTAAGTCGGTAAAGTAAAATGAGAAAAGAAATGTTTGACAAGTCGTGTGTATTTTGAATAAAACATTGTGGAGAGCTTGGAGAGGTCTCATTTTAAAGAGGTGCCCACAAATCAAAGATCGAGTTAAAATTTTTTTCTTGACAAATCATACACCATTCGACGCAGTTTTCGACGCTGATATCGAATATGTAATCGCCCTTTTCCAGGAAAATTTCAAGTTTTTCTTTCCCAGTTGGTCTAAACTGAAAATGCTTTTTCTCATTAGATTCAGCATGAAACATCGAACCGGAATATTGTGTTTCGAAACCGTTCGCTTTCCACCGGATCCATGTATGACCCATTTTCAAGGTCACCCAATTTCCTACCCTTAACAGCGTAACATTTGGACAAGCCGTAAAATAGATAGATACCTGTGATACTCTTACTTGTTCTTCTATGAACTGCGGCACTAATGTTCCATTTTCCCCACCTAAATGCTGATTATTTGGAATAAAACTTGAATTTATTTTTCAGAATCCAAAATGACTTTCGATCCAACCGATAAAGGATATCAGGCATAATTGGTACTAAGCAAATGAGGATGAGAAGCGAAATTACAGGATATGTGTATATGAGACAGGATTTATTGTCTTTCATGACAAGTCAGATGATTTAAAGCAGTTAAACGAAAGACAAATTCAACTTTCTACTCCATAAGAGAATAGAAACAAACACATTTTATCGTTATAGGTCAAACCTACAAAAATAACCTGTGCTGTCTTGCTTCTTATTTTGTATATCGATTGAAGTTGTGCAACACAATATGTTAAACAAATATGTATATATAGTGGAAGAGAAACATTCTCACATGAAACCACTGTAGCTATAAGAGAGAGAGGCAATACACAACGAACTGGTAGTACATCTCTTAATTATGCCTGTCTAGTGAAAAGAGAAAATGAGTTTATTTCTGTTCTCTTAAAGTTGAATTTCTCTGTCGTTTAGCTGCTTCAAATCATCTAACTCGTCATGAAATTACAAGAAGTGACAATAATTTTTCTACAGTCTAACCAGCTTACTGACAACAGTTGTTAACATATAATCTTGAAATAGAGCAAGAAACACAATAATTGTAGTAACTACACGAAAAGATGTCCATCTCTTCCGATATTGGTCGATCATTTAAGAGAGAAAAATGTTGATTGTTTATCGGCCTTACGAAAAAAATTACACGAAATATTTACCCAAAATGTGGTGAATGAAAAACTGCAGTGCTGGAAAATAATGCCGTAATACAGTACGATTCAATAGTAGCCACCGCTTATATTTCACCAACCATCACAGCCCTTGACTTGATATTTTATACACTTATACAATGACTTTCATTACCGAACGTATATTTTGTTCGTCTCATTATACATCAACCACTCACCTTCATCATATCTTGATTGGTTTTTATTTCGACAACAGCAGTTTTGTACAGAAAAAAGTAAATTTTACAATACAAAAACCTAACCGACACATAACCATGTTGTCGGAAAAGCAAAAAAGGTGTAAACACCTATAAAAATCGCCACGTTTTTATCCTATTTTTTTTCCTTTTATTAACTAGAAATATATTGGAGTCTCCAACACCCGACTGGGTTACTCCTCACTTTAGAAAGATGGACGAAAGACTTAAATATCAGGATCACAATCATTATTGATTCGACTCGTTTTCCTGTCTTTCTGTCGCGTTCGTGTAGAATCATAGCAATGAATCGTAGGAAAATACCTATATCTATACGCTTAATACTATTTATCTTTTCTTCCTTCTTGGGTGAATGTTACAATTCACATTTCTTTTACTTTTCATGACGTGCAGGTTAAAAAGAAATGGCAAAATCTTTTGTCAAGAACAAAGACAGATACTACGACGTGCGTATAGATATTTAATTACCGTCAATGTAGATATAAGCGAGAGAGCCCATACACAACGAATTGGTAGTACATCTCTTATTTATGCCTGTCTAGTTTTATTTAAAATTTCGGTAATTTCGTAGTTCGACAGAGACACTTTTCGACAGCGTGTTTCGACACTGTCGAATTTCGAGTGAAGAATTTTCGACAGACTTTTCGCTCGAAATTCGACACTGACGAAATCCTGTCGAATTTCCATTGAAAAATTTCAAAAAAACATAAAAGAATAATGATGTAAAAGCGCAGGGGACCGCGTTCAATGTCCAACCACTAAGCCCCGAATTAGAAAAAAATTAAATTAAACTTCTCTTTTGCTCTTATTTTTCCTTGTGTATATTACTCTTGTTGTACATATTTTCTTTATTTTCTTCTTGTTGTCTGTTTACTAATTAATTTGGTGATCAAAAATGTTATTTTTTGGTGATCATTTAAGGAGGTATTTTGTTTCGTCGACAATAATTTCTTACTCGATTCGTCGACACTTTTTTTTATCTTGATTCGTCGACACTATGTTTTTAATGAATTAAGTTTGATTCTTGCACTAACACTGTTTTTATCCGTTGTAAAACGTGTTACAGAAAACAGTTGTAATTGATAATAAAAAATGTATAAATATACCAAAATGATAATGCATATAATAAAGCCTTGAAAAAAATTTGTACAAAGCAAAATAGTTTACGCCATGTAAGAAATTATATGTTAATCGTAATCATCGTTTACATTATTTAGAAGATAGATATAAACAAACCAGTATAAATTTAAATGAATTTTGTGTAAGGTATCAAAAACAATAGCTGTTAAAAAGTTTTAATCTTTTTGTCAAATTTTTTTCAAGACTATACTGCATGCATGATCATTTTGAAATAAAAACTTTATAATTGCAAATATAATTCCATGTTTTACAACGGATAAAAAAGGTGTCGATGAAACAAGAATCAAGCTTAATTGATTAACAACATAGTGTCGACGAATCAAGAAGAAATTAGTGTCGACGAAATAAGAATGGATCCATTTAAGAAATCATTCAAAGAAATTTAGATAAATTCTCTTACGCACTGAAGTGAGGAGTAACCCAGTCGGGTGTTGGAGACTCCAATATATTTCTAGTTA